ACATGGTTACCTCAGCCTGGGCTTGGTGTTGACTGACTCTCAAAACAAAACACTAACACTCTGATAGCTCAGTGCTTAAATGCTACATACTAGCACACCCCTTAAATGTTACATGCTAGGGCAGCCCTATATGCTAGCAAGCCAATTACATGTTTTAATGGTGTATACTCCTCATATCCAGTGGACTAATCATTATCATTATCAATCATTATATGTGCATATGGGCAAATATGGACATGTTGCTTGAAACAGAATGCTGACAAATCACATAATAACAATTGCCCATCACTGCCAACACCCTCTTTAAGGACATCAAAAGAGAAGACAATGTTTTGTATTCAGTTAATCCAGCAGGACATTTCATCATACAGTGTTTTCTTTGCAATAACAAAGATTTGGAAATAAAAATATGGTGGTGCTGCAGTGCAGTGCAGCTCATGATTGTGCTTGTTTATGAATCATTGTGTAACAGTCACAATGAAAGGAATAATAATTGCTCTGATATCAGAGCCTTTTAGTGAGTAAATACGCAGCTCTAGATTACCTCAGGATCAGCACAGGAGCCAAACACAAGGCAGGTCTTTTCAGCCCTGCAACTGTCGTGCAAGGGTGTGTGTGAGAAACAATAAGCAATGCATTTACCAAACAACACCACCTACCTCTGAGTTGAACCTAATTTGATACACTCCGCAGGAACCGGGCTTTCTCTTCAGAGGTGATGTTAGCCCGAAGCAGGGGCTAATCAGAGCTTTATGGATGTGATCCATCTGCAACAGAGTAAAGGAATTCACCGCTGTTAAAACACTGTCACTGTTAATGAGATGCTCTCTGCAGACAAATGCACAGGTTAAAATCTGGCACCAGGTCTGGCATGAACTCCAGTTACCAAACGGATGGTGCAATCCTTGCATAAAACACAAATCATTTATTTACTGTGGTTTTCTAAAGCTAGCAGAAAAATGTCAAAAATGATCTTTGGTAGAGTTTCCTAAACAAAGAACAGGTAATTAACAGTGAGATAGCAGTAATAATATGTTTTTCACAGACATAATTCTACAATTACAATTGTGGTACTACTTTATTACTACATTGCACAATTGTTTGTTTTTGGAGCCATCTTAAAAATTATGTGTACATTTATGGACAGATGAGGATATATTTACTGCTTTGCAGCATGGGGAAATGAGTGAGCCACCATCAATGATCTGTATTTGTCTCAGTCAAGAACATAAAAGATAGTACAAGATAGTACATGCATGAAGCAAAGACTGGATATCAGTGAAGAACCTTCAACTTTCTGCAAAGATGCATTTCACATTTTCGATTTTCTGTTTACCAAAAATAATGACAATAATAACTATAATTGAATGACATAATAACGAGTTAAAGGATTAACTTGCTAAATATTGGCACATGAAATAACAGAAACCCTGACATTTTTTTTCTTTCTTTTAATAGTTACGAACATGTATTTTTCTGGATTCCATTCAGACATCTTGACCGCATCCTCTGTTCTCCATCATGGACTATCTACAAACTTTTTACAGCCGGCTTCAAAGTCTGCTGAAGGCGAGGGAGTTTTCAGGCACAGCCCTGTTCCTGGAAGGCATCGTGACCCTGACCCCTCACATGGTATTTGCACTCAAATACTTTTAAATGAAAAAATTCCTCACAGTATTGGACCAGCTGCCATAAGCAGCGACTGCCATCATACCAGCATAGTTACAGTTATTTTATATTATTTTACTGAAAGCAACATAAGACTTTGGATTTTTTCTTTTGCATGTTATTCTACACACGTAGTGGTGGTACATCTGGACATCACCTTCCAGTCGTCATAGTAAAACCTCCATAGGCCTTTGTGTGGTAAAGCATATTACACATATTACCAATGATGTAACTTGGTCACATGAGCTTCCACAGCCTGGGAGGCTCTGTGGAAATAATCATATGTTATGGGTCAGCGTATGTTATTCTGTAGTTACTGAGAACATAAGGCACATGTATGGAGATACAGTAGCAGTTGTTGCTTCACAGACCAAGGTTTATTCTGTTTGTGTGTTGAATGTGAGTGATGACATACAGGTTTTAGGAAATCCATCTACAGTAAAGCCTTTTACCTCACTGTGACCTTACATTAACCTGACTACTACTACTACGTCAACGCTAAACCAAAAATACAGGTCCTTCCTCATTGCACAAGCACCGTGGATCTGGAAACATCAGTGTTAATAACAAGAATGGTCAAAAAAAAATTGTATCAGAAAACAGTTAATTAATTCAAATGTTGTGGTCCAGAACATAGTTTATGATTATGAGCCACATATGGTTAAAGTGAGTATGTTTTATGTCTATGTGAAGTCCTCACAAAAAGAGAGACAAGTGTGTGTGTGTTGGTGCTGGTGTAGCTATATTAGTGGAGTGTTCTGATATGGCAAAAGTTTGTCCTTGTCAAGATCCTCATTGGGTTTTCTTGGATGTTTTGATATAAATATTGAGTTTGGTGTTAGGATTAGAATTAGGGTCGGATTAGAGTTAGGGTAAGGATTAGGATTAGGATGGGTTTATGTGTAATAGTTAAGGTTAGAGCACAAGGGAATTGTGTCTATGTGAAGTGCTCACAAAACAGAAAAAATCTGTGTGTGTCTGTGTGTGTGTGCTTCAAACGCTGCTCATTTTCTTTGATCACCACTCCGGGCGGTTGCACTGGAATGATCCTCAGCAGTCACTGCTCTCTTATCTCCTACAGTTTCCTTGCAGCTGTTTTTCGTGTGTCAACCATACAGATAGAAATACAAACACGAGCACTGAAAGCAACAAGTCTCAAATCAATAACTCCGCAACTAATATCAAAGCAAACATTAAACCTGTGGTTTTCAAATGAACAGCACATGCAGATGAATCATAAGGTAAGTTTTTTAAAGTTCATTTTTGTTTCTGTTTCCAATTCTACCTTCTTCAGCTTCCAGGCTGGTGTACCGGAGTCTGACCTTCCATCACACATTCCTCTCTCTGACCCTCCATCTGCTCTCCTCTGAACCCTCCACCTCTCATGTCATTTCACTGTGATCAAAGTCACTCTCCCTGACTCCCTGCAGACTCACTAGTCTGCTCCACTCCACATATGCATTAGGCACTGGGAGGGACAAACACTTGGCAACGTAATTCTGACTAATTTTCTCTGTCCTCATCTGCCCAAATGCTATAGTTTGTCACCTGCTGAAACACACCCACCTGGGTCCAAATGCTGAACGCCTGTTGTGTAAAGCTGTAAATTCAGTGGATGATATATATATATAAATAGCTATGTGACACACAGCACACGGCATTAATTATAAGCAGCACGTTGTATGTGAAACGCAGCTCTCACAGCGCGGTGGCGACCTGTCAGACTGAGTGCAGTGAGTTTTAGTCCAAACATATGGCTGTGTGAAGTAAAACAGACTTTTACCTAGTCCACAGTCCAGAGCCTCAGCATCTTTATGATTAATGTCCCTGGGTTTACATTATGTACAGGCGATACATCTGTGTGTAATTGCATAATGTGAAAAAAGTAACTGTGATATGGTAAATTTGATTGCTTTGCATTTTATTTACTCAAAATATATAACGCCACCGTCAAACTGGCCCCTCGTGAAATGTGATTTTGCCGTTTAATGTTTTCTGGCTCCTACCAATTTTCCACACATATTGTGTGAAGCTCAGTAACCATGACAGCCAACATGTGGGCACCAAGCAAAGTTGCATGCAGCATTTTACAGATGCAGTCAACTCTGCGTCTGTATTTACAACAGAATGTCTGTGCACAGAAGGGCCAGCTTTCATAGTGCTTGTGGAATCATTTATTCAATTTTAATTTAGTCAGAGCTTAACTAACCTCATTAGTGAGAACAGCACCAAGAGAGAGACCAACTTCACCACAATTATACTTAAGTTTCTGTGCATAATAATGTGAGTAATTCAATTAAATCCAAGAGACGTAAATAAAGGGGAACATGTCCTCTCTGCTTCTCCACTAAGTTGGATGTAAGTCCAATGGTAGTTTGTAGTTCAAATTAATTCAGGGCAAATTTCTACAAAACATTTCTGCTTTTCTTGTGTATTTTAGACAGCTGACAACACAAAAATACATATTTCAAACTTTCGATTAAACAGGGGCTTGATAGAGAGCCAAAGTTTACTCAAAAAAAATAAGTTATGAAAACCAAAATGACAGTTTACAAATGACTCCAAAAATACGAAAAAATAGCAAACACTAAGAAAAATGATTGACAAAAAAAAAAAAAAAAAAAAAACAAGAGAAAAATAAAGCCCAGAGAACCTGACAGGTCAACTGAAAGGTTAAAAGATTGAAAAGAAAAGTCAGCAATAACCATAATTGGCCAAAAATTGTTAAAGGTTAGGAAAAAAGCAAAATACTTTTAAATTAGTGGAATAAATACAATACAATTAAATAGAATAAAGTCAAATGTCTACAATTAATCAGTCCAGAAAAAAAGCTAGATGTTAGCAAAAAACAGCAATTAACCAAATTTAGGGGAAAAAACCCCGATTGAAACAGCCAAAACATCTTTCCATGAGAAGCATTTTTCAATTTCTAAATCAGATGTTATGATCCCTGCCACATGCAGCTGACCGTCTCAGCGACACTGAGAAGGACTGAGAGATAAAAGAGGAATACATGAATGTCACGTGTTGGTTGGCGACAACAGTCAAATTCTTGACCTTTTGTCCACCTGTTTTACTTTTTTTCAACGCTGTTTTGAATTGTTTTCTCTCCTAAGTAACATACATAAATGTTCACACATTTTCCATTCATGCTGTGATAAAACCTCTCGGCACATCACAGATTAGTGAGGAGGCAACAGCAAAGTGCGAGAGGCAACAAAAAGAAAATTGTCAGCTTCAGTTTATCATGTTTTTTT